TATCTTTTCTTCTATGCTGAACTACATGAATAGTATGTGTGGTCGTGAACATATTTGTCTATGTTTCCATTTAAGGTTTTCTGCTGGGACATGGCTGATGATCATGCTTTGTATATGTAACAGGGTTGGACTGCTAGCCTTTCACCAAGCATTAGTACTTAATCCACAAGATGCTTTTGTAATCTGGGCCTTTGCTTCTATACTATATTGTGGAACATGGCAGGAAGGTGTTAAATTTGCAAGAGAAAATGCAAAAGTGGAAGGGAGATTTGTACCAGAGATCTCTGGGTTCTCTGAAATTAAATCAGATGAAAAACTTGCTGAAGAAGTTTCTCAGTTAGCATCTTTAGTTCAAGATGCTGTCAATGCTTTTACGGATGAAATTAGTCTATCTGAATCCCTGTCCAGATACCTGGACCCCCCCTTCGATGTTTTTGTAAGTGTGCATATTATGATTTAGTGTGTGTGTGTGTGTGTGTTTTGCTAAAAACTTCATAAAGTTTGTAGCACTTAATAATCCTTGGGGTTTTTTTTCCTTCCTGAGGCCCTTTAAACCTTCCATCATACACTGCCCTTGCCGCTCTTCTGAATTAATAGAAACTGGCAGAATAAGCTGATCTGCATAGTTGATGTCTTTTACCATCACAATCTTCATCTTGCTTTTAGTATCAGATGCAAATGATTAGAATTGATATGTGGGCTGTCATCCTAATGCTTAAAATTAGTATCTTGTTTACCATAACATGCAAATGTGTGTAGCTTTACAGGCGCAGGCATGAAAGTCGGACATTAATATATTTAGGAAGTAACAATATGCGTTGAACTTATGAATTGGATTAAGTTGATACCTGACGGGACATGAATCAATTATCCTCTCTGAATTATGTAACCAGATGTCCTACACTCGTAGTTGAATAATCAAGCCACTGGCATTTTCTTGGTTCATTGAATAAATCCACCCTTCATTGTTCCAAATACCGTATCTATGTTATATATTTAATGTTAGGAACGCTGCATGTTTAGAATTTGGAGGAATTGATAAAAGGGGCTTTCTGACCTTGCCAACAACATAATGACACTAACTGCCATTTCTCAGTGTGGAGAGTTTTGCTACATGATTTAGTCCTGCCATTTTTTTCCTGCTTTGTGAGTCTCTGGATATGTATAATTTATGCAATGGTCACTTGGATGAAAACCTTTTCAACTAAGCAATTCCTCATTATATATAATCTGCATTGTTTTCTTTGTTGAGTAAAACTCTTTGTTTGGTGCTACAGGTGTTTGTATCAAAGAAAATAGGTGAACATGCCGCTCTTATTTTTCATATGCAATCTTGTGAATATAGAAGAGAGAGTTTCAAGATTGACTATGATCTGCTTGTGAAAGGGGATCTGTATGAGACTAGATTTGTCCTGGGCAAGGTTATTTTGAAAACTTTGAGTGGTGGGCTTGTTCAAGGAGGAAAGGAGATTATCAAGGAGGAGTTAAAAGTCGTCAAGGAGAATCATGAGCCAACACTTTCTGATCTGGCAAAGGATGGACATGTGGTCAAGAAGGTGAAAGAACATGTTCTATTATCATTTGATAAACAAAAGATAGAGAAAGTGAAGCAGAAGGAAAAGGTAAAGATGAAATGCTCTTCAGAACAGAACATAAATAGCATGAAGGAAGAAGTAGTTTTGAAAGATGCATCCATGGAGATAGCTAAGAAGCAGCGGAAGGTAGAGGAGAAATTTTGTTCACCACTGCAGGAGAGTGATAAAAAGGAAGTGTCTATTGGTGATGAGGAGCACCAGCATAGGGCTAAGAAGCATAGGAAGATGGTAGAGAAGGTGAAGCGCCACGAGTTATGTTATAAAGAAACAATAAATAGTATGAAGGAAGAGGCAGTTTTGAAAGATGCACCCATGGAGATAGCTAAGGAGCAGCGGAAGGTGGTTGACACAAGGCAGGTTTCTGAGGAGAAATTTCATTCCCCACTGCAGGAGAGTGATAAGAAGCAAGTGGCCGTTGGCAATGAGGAGCAACAGCATAGGGCTAAGAAGCATAGGAAGATGGTAGAAAAGGTGAAGCACCACCAGTTATGTTATAAAGGAACAATAAATAGCATGGAGGGAGAGTTAGTTTTGAAAGATGCACCCATGGAAATAACTAAGATGCAGCGGACGGTAGTTGACACAAGTCAGGTTTCCAAGGAGAAATTTCATTCATCGCTGCAGGAGAGTGCTAAAAAGCAAGTGACTGTTGGCAGTGAGGAGCACCGGCATAGGGCTAAGAAGCATAGGAAGATGGTAGAGAAGGTAAAGCACCGGGAGTTATGTTATAAAGAAACGAAAGAGCCATTTAATGTAATTACGAAGTGTAATCCAAGTGAGGATGAGAAAATTAAGGGGGGAGAGAAAAACGATAGGCCTCCGGTATTGCAGGATATGGTCAAGGAAAAAAGAGTCCAGTCTTGTCTATCCAGTCTCTTCAAGTGATGGTGCCCGTTTTATTGCAAGATACATGTAGCACTTGGGGAAGGCATTGCCAAGTAACTAACAAATGACTAGCACAGGTTAGTGGATGTCTTTTGCTATCAGGCACAACTTCCTTGTCACTGCAGATCTGCTGTAAAAGGGGCTGATGGTAGCTTGTCCCAGGTTACATTGGCTTATTGTCATTGTAACATCATCCAGTTTTGTAGTATTCTTTTGTTTCATAATTTAGAAAGAATTACAATTGTCGGCTTCAGCTGTCATCTTAACAGGCAAAGTATATCTAAATGGTTTGTATTAGGTTATGTTTTGGGAAGGTTAGGAGCCAAAATGAGTAGCTCAAGCTAACCATGTAATTCTTTAGGTTTGGGAATTTCTCTTGTATACTTGGTTAGGAGTTGATGGTTATCAAAAGAATGTTACTTCACTTGTTTGTCAATCCATCTATTTATAGCATGGTTTTAAAATCCAGCTCGGTCCAGTGGGTTGACCCGGACCTGTCTAACCATATCGTCGGTTGCGATTCAGGAAATGAGAAAAAAGGTAAAATAACAAAGACAAATGAGAAAACCTAATCTTTTCAATCTTCAAAGTTGAAAGCTATATTACTATTAGTTGTGATTCGCGAAGAAGAGCAGAGGAGCAAAAGACTTCAAGGCAACCTATACCAGTTAAGATCTGCGAGCAGAATAGATAATTCTTCCTCCAGCTCCTCATGACTCTCCTTCTTTTTCTTGCTCTCTCTATTACATCGTTAATGCCAATTGTGATCTCTTAAACCACAAACAAATGGTGAAGAAGAAGCAATCTCAATCTAGAAATAAACCAAAAGTTTAATCGCAACAATTTTATGCTGGCCATAAACGAGATACAACCCATTTTTCCAAAAAAATAAAGGGATGTAGGGGGGTTGTTAACAAAACCAAACCTCAGAAAACCCAAGCGGTAATGACGGACCACAAAGCAATGTATGAACCTTGTTTTCAGGATGCTAAACTAACTATCACCAGCAATACAAGTCATGCCTTGGCTTTTATTTCTTAATTTTAGAACTCTATTGTAGAAAACTGTTGTGTTCTCTTAAAAACGAAAGGCATGCCTTGGTTTTTATTTCGTTAATTAATTTTAGCAAGAGAAAGACTGGCTTTTAAACTCTATTTTTTTTGTCGATTTAATTTGTAACTTAATTATTATACTGAATTAATTATCAAATCAGATTTAAAAATTATAATTTAAAATATAATATGTAAGCAACTATCATAAGAATGTAGCATAATCTTATTGTTTGTTTTTGTATTTTAAAAATATTTTAAAAAAAAATTTAAAAAATTATTTTTATTTTAGATTAATATTTTTTTATGTTTTTAAATCAGTTTGATGCTAATGTTAAAAATAAAAAATATTATTTTAATATATTTTTAAACAAAATATTATTTAAAAAATTATTATTATCATACTCTTAAATATTTTTTTAGTTCCAATAAAAATGAGGTGTCTTGTTGTCTCTCCCAATCTAATTTAAATTCTTGAGATGTTTAAGATTGTTTTTTAAAATGGTTTTTATTTAGAAATATATTAAAATAATATTTTTTTTATTTTTTAAAAATTATTTTTGAAGTGTGAATATAATATTTAATTTTTTTAAAGTTTTTTAAATATTGATTTAAAATAAAAATTTAATAAAATAAATTTAATTTATTTCAAAAATATAAAACAAAAATACAATACAAGCTCATAAGAAAACTTCCAGGAAAACTATTGTGATTTATTGGGAATCCAAATTTATAGCATATCGAAGATTGTCATTAATGTTTGGTGCATCTCACTTGATTATTTTGTTATGGTTAGTTTACGGAGAGCCAAACTCATCTAATATTTTTCACATGCGATTGAACTACTCAAACTACACAATCGCATCATTGCTATCATATTTCTTATCTAATGCAAAACTATCATCAATTTCGATCATTATTATTGAACAATTTTACCAAATCCCGAAAATTCCAGCAAATGATGTAAAAATCTTATTAGATCCCGAATTCGATAAAACTAGCATTATCCCTCTCCACCTCCACCTCTCACCTTCCATGATTTACCCATAACATTCGCAAGTAAGAATTGAAAGGCTCTAAAAGACATGCACAAATGATGACAAACAAAAATCAAAAGGGTACTCATGGCTCCTCCGAGTGCTAAACTTGCGAGATCCTATGGGTGTGTGTGCATTAACCCTACCATTAAAGGACCCAATTACCCAGGAGAGTCCCAAGTCAACTTGACCCTACAAGAAGCCCGAAGTGGGCAAGAGCCTCTAGGAGCCAGCAAACCATACCCAACCACAATTAATCAATCATAAGCCTACAAAACTCCGATAGTTTGAAATCAGATGTGGCAAACCCACATGCATTGACAACCAGAAAATGACCGTTGTTCAGACAAACAAAGAAAGAAAGCAAGCCCTTTTTTTGCCTATGCCTAATCCAACGGTCATATTTCACTAGCCGTTAGTTTTGAAAAAAAGGGTTGGCTACACAAACCTCTCTTCTTTTATTTCTCTATCCGAGGTTGTAGATTCCAGTGCATTATTCCAGCCTCTTCTTTTAAATGCACGTATTAGTGTCAAATCTTTAAAGGAGAAGGGAAGAGACGAGGGTTTGCTTTTGTTGGTTCTTAATAGTTTGGTGTGATTAATTGTTTCTTCATTAACAAAATGGATGTATCTAATGGGAACAGTCTTAATCTCACCATCAAACCCACAGATTTTCAAGGTAAAGTAGTGAGCTTTATTGGTTCTGAACATCAAAGATGGGATGGTTTTTCAAGATCTAACATCGGTTTTTGTTTTTTTTTTAAATAATGTTAGAAGGATTAGAGATGGGTAACAGAAAGTTTGGACAGCAGATTAATAGGCAGAACAGGAGAGCTTTGAGTGTGTTGAATCAGAATTTTGTTGTAGGACAACAAGCATACCCTTGCGTTGTTAACAAGAGAGGATTGCAAGAGTAATTTCTCTTTTCTTGATATGAATTTTTAAGTTTCAGTATTGGTGTTCTGTTGATTTTTTTGTTCATTTTTCTTTTTGAAAAAAATGGGTTTCTTTTTTGTGCAGAAACCATGGTGTTTGTGAAGAACATCGACCCGTTACAAGGTTAGAAACAACAACTCTTTTCGTTTAATTTTTTTCTGTGTTGTTTGGTTGGTGAGAAAATGTAGGAAAGAAAAAAGAAACACAAATTTGAATCCTGGATCTTATAAGAGAAAACAACACTGCACGTACAGTACGAGCTCTTTTTTTAATAAGCTACTTACAGCTAGAGCTACTACTTTTTTTGGTTGAGTTTTAGACTAATAGTAACAGATTAACACAACAAAAAAAAAATCAGATTTAAACCCTTTTTGTTAGTTTTTCCAGAGTTTAGCAACCCAATAGATCTAATATTTGCTCGGAAAATTTTGATCTTGACATTTTGACCACTTTACAGGAAGTTCGCTGCTCAATTGTCAGGTACACAGCAGTATTACCACCAGGTAGAAAATGGATTTGCATTTATATGTGATGATCTTCTTTATTTTTCAAAGATAACGATGCTAATTTCTTGCAACATAATATTAACAGGAACTTAAGAAGCAGAAGCCATCGGTTCAAAGAACAAATGACTTTGGAGATTGCATATTTGTTGATGTGGAAGAAAACAGGGCATCTACCGCAGACCAACCAGTACCAATGTTCTTAGAGCAGACAGAAGCAAGGCCTGATGAAATGAACAAAATGGTATTCCATTCCTCTCTATTTCAATTCCCATTAGGAAAATGTCTTAATTCTAAAACCCATAATTGATTTGCTAAAATCTATCAGGAGGAGGTGGAAATGGAGGATATAATTGAAGAACCAATTTTGAATATTGATGATTGTGATGCAAAGAACCCACTTGCAGTTGTTGACTATGTTGAAGATTTGCACGCGTACTACAGAAAAATGGAGGTAAACTCAACTTAGAAAATAAGATTTTGGAATGTTTATGCTGTGTATATCAATTAGAAGATTAATTTTGATATGGAAGGTTGATAAAAGTACATTTCATGTAGTTAAGCTCATTTATTTTCCAACGAAACATAGGTTTAGCGATGAAAGACTCAAAGGTTGAGGCCTTAAGGAGTTCCTAGATTTGAATGTCGCTATCCTTGAAATACAGATTTCAAGAGTTCCTAGATTCAGATAATAGGATTAAGGATTGAGATATTTTTTGGTAGCTAATGCTTCTGAATTCAGTGAGATGATCTTAGGGTTTCTAGACTTGAATATAGGAAGCATTTGGTCTAGTGGTTAAAAACTAGAAGTATTTCTATGTGCCTTAGATAATAGGGGTAAGGAATGAGAGTGATAGAATGTGCACAATTGGTCTAAATAATAAAATGCCTTGATCGAGAATTCATTGGAGATATTATTTGCGGTAGCTAAAGCTTCTGAATTCAAGCTTTTATCTAACACATTAATTACTTAACTTCCTTGTGATCTACCTAAAATGGCAGGTTTAAAGATTGAGAGAGAGAATGTGCACAACTGTTCAAAAATATAAAAATGCTTTGGTCGTGAATTGATTAGAGTTGTTTTCCGTAGCTAATGCTTCTGAATTCAATTTTTGATCTAACACGTTAGTTACTTAGCTTTTTTTGTGAAGTCTTGTTAAGTGCTTGACATATAAATTGTTAAAAAAAAATCTTCAATTTCCGTTTAAATTTGATTACTAAACACAACTTAAATCTGTGCAGAATTGTAGCTGTGTATCGCCGAACTATATGATGCAACAAGCTGACATTAATGAGAAGATGAGAGCCATCCTAATTGACTGGCTGATTGAGGTATATATATGAAGTTCTACCAAATTGGTAATGTGCTGCACTGGGATCAAATGTTTGTGAATGACCATGTTTTTTAATCAACAGGTGCATGACAAGTTTGACTTAATGAAGGAGACGTTGTTTCTAACTGTTAATCTGATCGATAGATTTCTATCCCAGCAAACGGTGATGAGAAAAAAGCTTCAGTTGGTTGGCTTAGTTGCTATGCTCTTAGCATGCAAATACGAGGAGGTTTCTGTTCCAGTAGTGGGAGATTTAATTCTTATATCTGATAAAGCGTATGCTAGGAAAGAAGTCCTCGAAATGGTAGGTGTTGTTCCCTGTAAAAATGCCGAAGTTTTTAAAGTTTTACAAGCTCTCGAAAGTGAGTGGCAATAATCTCTTCTTTTGCAGGAAAATTTGATGCTTAACAAATTGCAATTTAACATGTCATTTCCTACACCATATGTTTTCATGCAAAGGTTCCTCAAGGCTGCCCAGTCTGATAAGAAGGTTAGCACATTTTACCTGTAATTTACTGGTGAAGATCGATATTTGAAAGAACATGAAATTATATATGTTTTGCCCTGACAATTGTGTCATTTATGACTTGAGAACAGCTTGAGCTGCTGTCCTTCTTCTTGATTGAGCTTTCACTCGTGGAGTACGAGATGCTTAAGTTCCCACCATCATTGTTAGCAGCCTCAGCCATCTATACCGCTCAGTGCACCATCTATGGTTTCAAAGAGTGGAATAGAACCTGTGAATGGCATAGCAACTACTCAGAAGAGCAGCTCTTGTGAGTTTCTGCTCTCTCTCGTGATACACATAGCAACTACTCAGTGATCTACCGTTAATTTCTTTATTGAAGTCGTTTATCTCATCCTTGGCTTGCTAATGACTTTAGTTTCATGCATGCTGACAGAGAATGTTCAAGATTAATGGTTGGTTTCCACCAGAGGGCAGGGACAGGGAAACTCACTGGAGTATACAGGAAATACAACACATCCAAGTTTGGATTTACTTCAAAATGTGAAGCAGCACAGTTTCTATAGCAAGGAATATGTGTACAGCTACTAACTTTACTTGATTGGGGGTGGTGGGTGGGCATTGCACACAATAATTAGCAACTTGGGTTGCTGCTGCTCTTGGGAATTGAGAATATTTTGCGTTCTACAGCCATTGTTGGTTTTTATTATGTTCTAATTGGACATATTTCTGTTTCATTGAAAACAATAATTGATGGACAGTTCATAATTATTGAAAGAAGTTTCAAATTCTTGATTGCTGCTTTAGCAGTATGAGAATTTGTGCATTATTTAATTTAATAAAAGGATGGATCTTTAAAATTAAACAGTTTTAGGTAGTCATTCTACAACATAATTGAAAGTGTCATTGACTAGAATTATTAAATGGCGATTCCATCGCGTGATGACATCATTTAATTTTGTGACGAAACATATTCATAATGATTTGTGAAAAAATTATTGATTGATTAATAATCTTAGACGATAAATTAAATTCACCTAAAGTTTCATCTCATGTTCTTGAAATTTGAATTTTAGATTTTTGAATAGAAATTTACATGCTATGAGTTGGATTAATTTTGTTTTTAATGCAAAAAAAATAATATTTAGATATTGTTAATATATTTTTTGGTATAAAATGTTTTTAAACTATGTAAAAAAATATTACTTAATTAACTTAAGAGGTTAAATATAACCTCAATTGCAAAATCAAATGAGTTCTTTATAGTATAAAAAAACTAGGATAATTAAAAAAACCTTGGATGCATGAATAGGTTTTTTAAAATATTTTTTGTCAAAAGTGAACACTCCTCTTTTCATTTTTTTTTTTAAGTTTATGATAAGTTATGTAATCTTTTTCGTTCATTCAAAACTTATAACTTATAATTGACTTCTAAAACTTAATTTTCAAAGTAAATTTTATATGAAAACAACTTAGAAACACACTATAAGAATTGTCAAATATTACTTATCAACCCAAAACACTTAAAATCACTTATAAAAATAAAAATCAACTAAATAAAAAAAATATAAATAAACCTTGATATGCTTTTGGGCATATATTAAAAAAAATTATTAAACTTTTCTTATCGAATGAAAGTCTTTAATATAAAAATTAATTATTTTGATCATCAAAATATATTTAGTCAGCAATCTTCTTTGATCCATGTTATTCATCATTTTCAATAATTTTTTATTTTTTTAGAGTGAAAAACAAATAAAATAAGTTTTTAAACCAAAATTACAATTCAAAAAACTTAAAGATCAAAACTACAACTTCAAAACTAAGGAAGATAGAAGGACTTTAAAAAATATTACATGAATTCAAAATTAATCATTTGGTTTTTCCTTAATTTATATTTTAATGTGTTTTTATTAAATTTGTTCTTTCTCTAATAAATCATATCAAGATGGTCAATAACTTGCGTTTGAGTATATCTCTTAATTATAATATAGTATTAAGTCATCATAACAAATTTTTTTTAATAAATAAAGAAAGAAAAAGGAGAATTGATGGACTCTATATAGTTAAGTCCTTCAAGTAGACAAAGAAAATTAGGGTTCATAAACATGGATAGAAATTCAATCAAAGTTAAATTTACTAAGTTAATGCATGAACATGTCATGAAATCCATCATCAATGTCCAAAGTTTTTTTGGCAACTTCAATAAGAAATTAATAAAAAAAACATTTCTATTATTGCAAAATAGAAATCCATCATCGCACTCCAAAGTTCTTTTGGCAACTTCAAAAAGAAATTAATAAAAAACAAACAAAAAGAACATATATATTATTGCAAAATAGAAATCCTAGAGAAGTTGTAACAAAGTGGTATTCTTTCGCCTTTTCCCTTGTCAACATCAAGCACCAACTCACACACACTATCAAGACTGGATCTAAGAAATGGCAACTTGTTAGCCCCTAGTAAGTGACCAAAAGATAGATCGGGCATCTTCCCGCCCACCTACCCCCGTCCGTAAAATACATGCAAAAAGACAACTAGACAAGGACACCATCCCTAATCTCTCCCCTGACTTAAAGACACCATTTCTCCTTCAACACCCTCACCAACTCCATTAAAATTTGTATATTTAGATTAAAAAAAATAAAAAAAAAATTATTTTTTTTTTGCCTATTTTCAAGGGATATTCAAATCCCATCTCTTATAATTTAACATGAACTCGTAAATTGTTAACAAAATACTAAAAGATATAATTAAATGATTGAAATCACACTCATAAAATATTATTTATTATAATAATTTATTGTATTTTTTTAATGTAACCTTTCATCATTTATTTTTAATATTAAAATAACAAGGTATAGGGTTAAATAAGTTTCATTGTCAAATCTATTATTTTAGTTGTGAGATAATAACAAATTGAAATAAATTATAATTTTTAATTTTTAATTAATTAATAATTATATATTGAATAATAAAATAAAAATAAAAATAATTTAAAATAACCTTAAACTAACATGTCAAATTTACAACTTAGATTATAAAATTACGATAATTTCATATAAAAAAATTAAAATAAAATATGAAATATAATTATTAATTAATTTAATAATAAAAAATAAATTTAATTTAAAATTAAAAAAATAATTTAAATTAATCCAGATTAATTTGTTAGGTTTATTATTCTGATTATAAAACAAATTATGATATGCATTATATTTTGTTTTATGTTAAATAATAAATAATATTTAGGTAACGAATATAATATAAACACAATAATAATTTAGCTGATAAATAATAATTATATTATAAATATAATAAGAAGTCAATCTATGATTCACATGGTCATCCCTGTTCGTAACCCTTTTTCCTTCTCCTATATATATAAAACTCTTCCCAAAGATTCCGATCTTGTACTGCAGCGAGCCACCACCAACCCCTGAAAGACAAAGTTCCCATCTTTCTTGCTAGAACTCACTCACCACCATGGCATCAAAACTAATCTTATCATCACCAAACTCTCTCCTTCTCCAAAATCCTAATCTCCAACACCACAACCATCATCTCCTCCTCAAACCCACCACCAATATGGCATCTTTCCCAAATTTAACCAATAAAGTTAAGGCCTTTTCAATCAAATGTGCAGCAACTACAGCAACCCCGCTTTCTCAAAGTCAAGATCTTGAAGAGAGAGTCTTTAATTTTGCTGCAGGGCCTGCTACTTTACCTGAGAAAGTCTTAAAAAAGGCTCAATCTGAGCTTTATAATTGGCATGGATCTGGGATGAGTGTAATGGAAATGAGCCATAGGGGGAAAGAATTTCTTTCTATTATTCAAAAGGCCGAGGCTGATCTCAGGGCCTTATTGAATATTAGTGAAGATTACGCTGTTCTGTTTCTTCAAGGTGGTGCCACTACACAATTTGCAGCCGTTCCATTGAATCTGGTGAAACCTGAAGATTCTGTTGATTATGTTGTTACTGGATCATGGGGAGATAAGGCCTTTAAGGAAGCTCAAAAGTACTCTAAACCAAAGGTGATCTGGTCAGGTAAATCTGAAAAGTACACAAAGATTCCATCTTTTGATAGTTTGGAGCAAACCCCAGATTCTAAATATTTGCATATTTGTGCTAATGAGACAATTCATGGTGTTGAATTTAAGGATTACCCAGATCCTAAAAATGGGATCTTGGTAGCTGATATGTCTTCAAACTTTTGTTCAAAACCTGTTGATGTTTCCAAGTTTGGTGCGATTTATGCTGGAGCTCAAAAGAATGTAGGCCCATCAGGGGTTACTATTGTGATAATTAGGAAAGATTTGATCGGCAATGCACAAGGGATTACTCCTGTGATGTTAGATTATAAGATCCATGCAGAGAATAATTCACTTTACAATACACCACCTTGTTTTGGTATTTACATGTGTGGTCTGGTTTTTGACGATCTTTTGGCACAAGGTGGATTAAAGGAGGTTGAAAAGAGGAATAAGAAGAAAGGTGATTTGCTTTATAATGCTATCGATGAGAGCAAGGGGTTCTATAGGTGTCCTGTTGACAAATCTGTGAGGTCATTGATGAATGTGCCTTTTACACTTGAGAAGTCTGAATTGGAGGCTGAGTTCATCAAAGAAGCTGCCAATGAGAAGATGATTCAGCTCAAGGGGCATAGGTCGGTGGGAGGAATGAGAGCTAGCATTTATAATGCAATGCCTTTGGCTGGTGTTGAAAAGCTGGTTGCTTTCATGAAGGATTTCCAGGCAAGGCATGCTTGAGTCCTCATTGATTGGATGATTGAACCCCAACATGGTGCTTTCAAGTTTTGAGACTTTGAATGCCTCCTATGAATGATTATTCTAAGAGATGTGTAACAATATGGTCTTGTGTTGTTTCCTTTATGTTTGCTTTGATCTTAGTGGTTGTTACAGTTGGGAATTGATGCAGTTTTATAGGCTGTTCTTATGGTCATGTTACTCAGTGTCAAGCTCAATTTAGCGAGATCATATAGTATCTTTTTCGTGTTTTCATTTCATTCCTCAGATTATTTTTTAATGCAATGCAATGGAGCCAAATAAATTATGATATTACATCGACATTTGAGCGCACATCTACCAGACCTGTTTTGGTAAAATGGAAATAGAGAACGAAAACATGATGTCTGAACCTTCTTGCAAAAGATAATTGTTCAAAATGCAATTCGATGTTTGAGTGTTTGAAAAGGAGCCTGGAGGAGATAATGACCTGGAACATGAGCACAGCATGCACCCATTGAACGAGTCACATGTTCCGTTTGATATCTATGTTATCATTCATCACTGAGGCCAGTTCCGAAGTAAAACTAGATCCTTTAATCGTGTAGAAACGAAGATCACATGTTGAATTGCCTCTTTACAATCCGAGGGTGAATTATTTTAATTGTTTTGGAAGCGCGGCCAGCTTGACGAAGTCCCTCTTCCGTTGTATCCCGAACAGTTGCTCCACCATCAAATTGGTATTCCCAAAAATTGTGTCTCTGTGATTTTGAACTGAGCTCCTTAGCACCCAGACGAATAAATTGGCATCTCCATGGATTCGAACCATGGATAATGGGTAAGAAAGTGGCGCAGTCGGCACTCGGACCGTTGAAATAGAGGTCCACAGCTTGAATCTGAGCATGGGCCAGAACCTTGAACCGGCTTATTTCGCTTGGTGCCCCACCATTGAAGTGGAGAATGACATCTTGCTTAATGCCACTGAAGCGCATAATTATCTCCAGCCCACCAACTCACCGACAGTCCTCAATCGCACCACGAAAACGATGTACAAACGGGGGTTTTTGTTTGGTTGAAAATGGTTTTTTGAAAATTAGTTTTTAAATTTTTTTATATTTATTTATTATTATAAAAAATGATCAATGAAAATTATTTTTTAATTAAAAATAGTTGGATTACTTTTCAGAAAAGTATTTTTATAAAAACTTTGACTGAAAAATAATTTTTGAAAGTTGTGAAAAATTTAAAAATATTATATTATTTGCTGATTATATCAAATTTGTTCCTCAAAATTTTTAATTGCTATGTATATTTTGTTTTGAATATTTGATTTTTAATTTCATCCCTTAAAATTTAATTTTTATATTAAACTTTGGTTTTTATATTTATAATTGTTATTTGCTTTTTTTCTTATTATTTTTTAATTGAAATTTTTTATCAATCAAATTTAGTCCTCATTTTTTTATTGTTACTTATTTTATTAGAAATAATTTATAAAATTATTATTATTATTTCTTTATCTTTTAATTTTTTTTATTTGTTAGATTTATATCTATTATTTTGATTATTATTTATTTTATTTGAGATAAATTTTTAAATTATATTTTTTTTTCAATTTCATTTTCATTCAATTTTTTAATTTGTAAGATTTGTTCCTCATTATTTTAATAAATATGAAAAAAATAAAACATTAATAAGTTTTTCCAACTCATTTTCTATGACATAACCAAATACTGGAAAGTGTTTTTCAATTTATTTTCTATTATACTACCAAATATTGAAAAATAATTCATTTTCTTGGAATTCACTTTTCAAAAAATTCACTTTTAAAAAAGAAACTACTTTACAACAAACAAACAGGGTCCTAGAAACTAAGAATCTCTTTGGATTTTATTTTTTAAAAAATATTTTTTTATATTATTTTAATATATTAATATCAAAAATAATTTTTAAAAAATTAAAAACATATATTATTTTAATATATTTTTGAGTAAAAAACACTTTAAAAAACAACTATAATATCAAAATTAGAGAAATATCTTACACTATACATATTGGGCAAACTCAATTTTAAAATTTAAACAAAAAAAAAATCTACCCTAGTAAATAATTAAAAAAAATTATTCAAGGGAAAAAAAAATCCAATCAATCAAAATCTAATTTATTTCTTTTCTGCTTTTGAAGAGACCATGGCTAATTTCCTCTTCTCTTTCAATCAATCTCCAGCAAGCCGACACCAAATTTCACCCAAAAATCACTAGCCACCATGCCGAACTTTCGATTTCATGTACAAGCAAGAGTGGAAAGAATAACAATGGTGGCATCGTCCTCTCAATCTTAACAGATTCACCACATCCCAGTTGCAAATCGTCGCTATTTAAAAACTGTTCTTCATCGCAGATCTTGTTGCTTCAACAATCAAATCCTATTATCTTGACCAGCCCACTTCCCACTTTTTGTTGTCCTCTAAAAATACAAGCATAGACGAGGAAATTTGAACGCGTGTATGAGGAATGATTATATTGGGATAAGAAAGAGAAAATGCAGAAGATCCTTCAAGTTTGAAAAATTAATAATGAAAAGGAATTAAGTTTTTCAAGAAAGTGCAGCGTAACCTTTTTTCAAAACAGTGTAAAAGATGACAGTCAAGAATCTGTGTATCAAACACATTCTCCAAATAGTGGCAGAATCTCTATATTGAAACAAAAACGCAATTTCGTGTTCCTCAATTACTGTTCTTGCATATAGTTTCGAAACATGCTTTCAAGTTTCACCTATACAATGAATAAAAAAAAATGGAAGAAAAGAAGTATAGCAGGGGGGAGTTTTTAGCCTGCCTAGCTTCATGACAGACCATCCGAAAAGCATAACTGGGTAATGACAAGATGTGGTTCCTCCCTCTCTTGATACTTAACGCGTGTTATTTTCTTGTAGCTGTTCTTTTACAATATCTAACCAGTATTGTTGCAAAAAAATTTGCTGTGCACAAAAAGAATACATGATCCAGCCACGGCAACATCTCGGCTACGAATTGAATCTGCTGGCGAGCAGCCGCCGGCACTTCACTTTGATAGCAGTTGTAGACAGTTCAGTAAAAGAACTGTGTGGGTGTAATTTCAGCTGTTATGAAAATGAGAATCTCGAGAAAAGAGACAGACCGGATCCTGGAGTGTCACTTGCTGGGCTTGGTGGAACATCAGTAGATGCACGGTATGCTTGTTGACATTTTTGCACCTGTTTTTGCAATCAAAAGTAGAGAGCGAAATTTGATAAATTTGAGCCAAGGTCACAGACAGAAAAAGGACTTTCCTAGACACAAGGACCATGTGAGCAATGACTTGATTTGGTCAACAAATGGCCTGTGTAGTACTTGCACATCTATATTCTAATATGGATGGTTTTTCAACTACCGTAAAGCTTTCCCTTTTTTCATCAAAGAAAAACAGCGAACCAAAAGGTTCGCTTCTGAAGTAAATATACAACACACACACATACATTTAAGGCAGCAAGGAATCAGCACTATTTTTGGTGATTCTTACGTAAACATGTGCATTAAAAAAAAACAAGAAGAAATTGGGTAGCTAGTTTATGTTCTTCAGATGTCAAGACATCACAACATTACACTTACTAATTCCCGAACCAAAACAGCATAACAATAAGCAGAAAGAGAAATTTCACCTCTTCAGGACTAAATTGAAGAAGCATTGCCACAACAGGCAGGAGAGCTTCCACTTCTCCTGTTCAAATAAATTTAATACCATTAAACTTCCTAGCATCACTTGTGTCTCAATCATTCCATCAAAAGGAGAAAAGAAAATTAACAAATTTAGAATTTTGTGATTGATGACAATTCAGCCCAGGTACCTGTTTCAAGAAGCTTCAAGATGACATTTTTTAGATATGTCAAATCTACACCATCTCTTTTCTGCGTTCTTTCCATGTTGCGAAGCTCAGTCTTCAACATTGCTTCCTGCGCATCAAGTTAAAAACATTCCATTATAGTAGTAGTAACAACAAACAGTTATCACAACAAGAAACAAAATCATGACCCAGCATATCTTAGCATGATACCCAAGTATTTTCACTACACATATTCTCCTTTTCCCTAATCATTTTGGCTTATCCAATCAACAAGGTTTAAGTGCTACTTACTAAGAATTGACTGACAAACACTTCCTACTTAACATTGAGTTTTATTTGGGGTCACATTCACTGTATATCATAAGCTATATAATCTTGTCTTTCTGACAATAAGAAACAACTTATTTTTGGAATCTTTCCAAGTAACTTTTGCTTTTAGTCAGATTGCTCATTTGATGTGGTAGGCAAAATCTCACCACTGATTGAATTTTCAGCATACCAGGAATCTTAGCAAGCTCCGTAAATCTTTTCTAGTGTAACTTCTCATAAATGCTTTAAATTATTCTTGTCACCAGACCATTCACCATCTCAATACTTTCACCTTGACCATACAGATTTGATAAAGAAATTTTCTCAGCACATGTACCCAGTTAAATGAGCAAAATCAAACTTTTCAATACCTGTTGGCCGTGCAGACGATTCTCCCGTTCAAGTTCCTCAATCTCCTCCTAAATAGAACAGCTATCAGAAAATTCACCATACGATAATAATTGAAAAAATCCACATATAACATACTTGAAGTGCCAAAATATGCCGCTGAGATTGTGCTAACTCTTCCTCTCTCTGAGCTTGTTGCCTTGCCAATAGCTGAAATTTAGTAAGAGATTATTACAAAGCTATTTAGTGGGCAAATTGAGTCCTGACAAGGAAATGGGTGGAAAAAAAGGGCAAATGGCACATTGAATTGAATAAGTGAATAATGGTATATGAAGAATAACATGACGATTCAAGTATCTTGTTTAATCATCAGCAAAATCATTACTACAAGTTATAGCTTATATTTTCAAGTCCTTCACGCTTATTAACTGTGTATATGACAAGAATGGGAAGATGGCTTTCCAGGTACCAGAAATGTACAAAATACATCACAACTATGCAAATTCCATATCCAAACAAACAAAATAGTTAGAACTTTAAATGAGTTTCCCCGGTAAGTGTTCATTTACAGGAATAACTTGCGTGTTCACACTCGTGCTTTGAATAATCAAGGATATCAAACAGTATCCACAAAAGTTGCACAAAGAAAGGCAAGCACCAGGATCCATCTAAGAAACAACCCTTATGGGATAGGATAGTTTTCCTGTCTTCCTTGGGTGACATCCTTCTTTGGTATTCCATACAGACAATTGCAGTGGAGTGTCATGATATTCGGCAGGATTGCACTGCTCTTTTATGATATTCCTTTTAATTTCATTACATGGAGAACATTTTATTCTTCATCATGCTTTGGTAGTTAATTTTGCCCTGTTTATATAATATTCTTTTATCTAGATGAATACCAAGCATGGTAAAGAGCAACTCGTCGAGAATGCTAGACTGGGATCATGAAAAAAAAAGGCTAGTAAAGAACACAAAAATGCAAGTAAATCATCACAAGTATTCAAAATATATTAATCAATGTGTCCTCCAGTAATCTTTGAAACAAGCTTGTGCCTGTTCCAATGAAGTTTTACTCATGTCATGCTTGCCATGATATCACACTTAACAAGATTATTGCATATAACAATGACAGTTCTAAGAAAAAGATGTTTCTACCAGAATCTGCTGTTCTGCTAAGGAGGTGCTTAGATTTGCTCCATCTTGTTTGTGCATGGCTGAAAACACCAATTCAAAAGGGATAGGTTAGAACCTAACCAACATAAAATAATAGAAAACCTTCCCCACTATGGCAGAAAAGTACTACTTCTAACTAAAATGAGCGGAAAAGGCAAAGGAAATATCTGTATACCTGTGATGCTATCATCGCTATGATCAACCTGAGACACATGGTGAGATTACAAATTACATAACAAACCATTTCATCAGAAAAGGGCTAAGCTCTACATATATTGAAAGAAAAAAAGACATACACGGGGTCTTGATTCCATTGACTGATGAAGATTCCTGTTGGAGTCAACAAGTCTAGATATTTCTTTATCTTTCTCCTCCATCATTCTATCAGCGAGTTCCCGGAATGAATCATGCTCTTCCTACAATATATGAATCCAATTAATCAACAAAGAGAACGAATAAAGCTTACATAAACATTGGAATAAAAGTTACCTTAAGTTTTTTATACTGTAGTTCGAGCTCTTCTAGTTCTCTCTGTATATCTTGTCCAGAAGGCACTTCTTTTTCTGCTTTCAGGGCTTCACATCTCACTGTCAGTTTATCATTCCAAGTACAAATTTAATTCAATGCTTAATCATATGCATCTTGTGAGGGCAAAGGAAACCATAGGAAGTAGCAGGGTAAAAGATTCTCAAACCAAACATGGACATATTACATCGCCATGATTCTTCCAAATTCTGAAGGTTTATTTTCCATGTTTCTTTCTCTGATTGGAGATGAACATTGGCTGAATCAAGTTTTGTTTCTAAGCTCTTTATCTGCTGCATGGCATTGCTAAGAGCTGCATCTCTGAAACAGTTGCAAAACTGAACAGTTTAAGAAAAGTCCTCACACTTGTATACAGCAAAAGAATGTTGCCAAATAGCATTGAATACAAAACCAACAAAAAAAGAGAGAGAGGGATGGGGCAGTTTTTGTAATCAATCATGCCTATCAAGCATAAAGCAGCAGTTTGAAGGAACTGCATCAATTTCTGTGATTACACATTAAATAAACAATTACAACAGTCACACAAACTCACACAAATAGAAAAAAAGCAGGGATTGAACAAAGGGAGATCTTATAATGAAGCTTTGAGCAACAGCTTACCTTATGGCAAGTTCTTTATCATGATTAGCCAATGCTTCCTGAAGATCTTGAAGAGCCTTGTCCCTTTCTACAGATGCCAATGATACTTCTGTCTCAGCTTCCTACAGAAAAAAAGCTTTATAATTTAATATCACCAGTCACCTCAAATTATACCCTCCATAATACTAATTGAAGAGAAATCTTAGGCATGTACTTTCAGTGCTTCCTCAATAGCTTTAAGTTGTTCAGAGTCCATAGCTGCGGCCAGCTCTGCATCCTTCTTCTGAAGAAGTGTATGAGCACGGACCTTATACGAGGAAAATTCACTTTCAAGGCGGTTGACCTGCAAGTATAATCAATGAAATAATATAAAAGAGGACAGATACGAACATCAAAATCTATGCAACTTTATGTTACTGACGAGTTTGTCTCAGGAAAGTATAACTGATGTGATGATATTCCCACATGACAGGTTTTGCTTTCTGAGTTCTGACTATTAACTAACTTATGTTAAAAAGTCCAAATTCAGTCATCTCCCTCATGTATTACAAAAGTCTTACTAGCTGACTAGCTTACTAATAAAGTCTAATGAAAAAACACTTGGTACCTCCTCTTTGACAGCCAATAGTTCAGCATCTTTTTTACTTAGCATCTGGCTTTGGACAGACACTTCTAATTCCAGTTGACCTGCCAGTTCACAAAGCATGAATATCCACTCAATCATCATGAAAATAGATGAAATTAACCATAGCACTGAGATGTACCTTTCATTTTGGTTGCTTCAATTTCAGCACGTATGTAATTCCTCTCAGCTATTTCCAGCTTTGTTTTCAGTGCCTGGGAGGCAGCTTCCCAACTCTCCTTTTCTTTCTCCTGAAATCATAACAGTTGTAGAAATGAACTCAAGTATACATAAACATGTGCGTGTATGAGTGTGCACTCACCCAATACACGTACTAGAAGAAAGAAGGAATGTAGTCCTAAATAAATGACATTTTGCTCCATTATGACAGTTCATGCACCACATCTTCTGATGGGTGCCTTGCACCCTGGTATAGCGATGGGAACTTAAATGAAGATTATCGGTGCTTTACTAGTCTACTTGTTCCGTGGTCTCAACATAAGTACATGCATTTTGATCATATGTGCAACATCAAATTATGATATAAACAGTTCGCGGAGGTTAGAGATCTCAGCCTAAGACATTTAGAACACAATCAACTTTACTATATGAGACATGAACAAGGGAAGACAATTTCGAGCAATCCATCATGAAGACCACTAACATTTTACTGGATTTCACACAAGAGGCTCAATGGTTCATGCTATGGCATTTAGGGGGGGAGGGGAATTAATCTTCAAGTTTCTTAATTACTCATCATAAATTTCAGTTCATACATGCTCGTGTTTTTGATGAGCAAGCTCTCCTTTTACACTTTCCAAAGCAGCTCGTAACCGTGCTGTCTCACCACTTGAGGCTGCATCCATCTCTGCAATCTTAGACTCTTTCTCTGCAACTAGAACCTGCAAAATATATCACTTCTTAGTGGAACTCATCTTTCTGAAAGCCTAGATAAAACTAGTGCATATTACACATTTTAAGCCAGATGTGATCCCTTTGAACGGTGAGTTATCACACATGTAAAATGTGAAGATCAAAAAACACAAGATCATAACTCATTATATGCAGCTACTCTTTGAATTCTTAAACGGAATTAAATAAATACAAAACCATAAAAAGGAGAAGTCTCACCTGCAATTTGGATATAGTTTCAGCAGCCTTGTTCCTATCTGTCAAGGCATCAGCAATTTGGCCTTCCAAGTTCTCTATATTCTGATGAAAAGAAATAAACAGGAGTAAAGTTAAGACATACTTTGTACAAAATAATAGCACAAAGAAAACCATCCTATCTTTGTATTAAAAAAGAATTTATAGTCAAGGCATCTGAAACAAATTACTTTCTGATGTTTAGCAGAAAGCTCAGTCATTGAAGCTTGTTTTTTTTCTTCTGCAGATTGTAGCATCCCTCGCATGTCTTCCAACATCTGAACATAATGAACATAATGCAAGTAAATGGGTTTTCAAAGCCTTGCTTTTAGCATAAGCAATCAAGCAAACATATAAGCATGTCTAACCAGTACCTGTTCTTTCTCTAAAAGCGTTTGTTGCAAAGCCTCAAGAGCACTTTCTTTAGGTTGCAATGAACAGCGTAATTCCTCAATATTGTCACGGAGTCTGTACATCAATACATTTTTTTTTTTTTTTGGAAATATTTAGAAAGTAAAATTGCATAATACTGAATGTGAATGTTTTCAAATATCAAAGTAGAAAGTTGTGCTCTTTAATCCACTAATGGAAAGTTGTTGACTGAAATTTAATGCGGAAAGAAAGTCACTGGTTTCAGTCTAGCATGCAGATGCATTTATGATGCCTCATAATTTCTATTGAAGGACAACAAGACAGTCTGCAATGATCATGCAACATAAGTTATTTATAATCTGTTTACAATATTCAATATGTAATTGAACCTGGCTCAGAAAGAGATGAATAGACACTCAGGAGAATTTGGGGGTCTTCAAGCAAGAGGTTGGATCAGCATGGGCTAAAATCAGCAGAGGCTCGATCCCAACTGCTGGGAAAACTAAAAGAGCACATGAACATGCACAAGCATACACAGATAGGAAGAGGGTTTTAGATCCACTGAATAATAATGCCTTTTCTTTTCACAAGGCAAACTTCCCATGAGGTCAGGGGGGAGCAATTTGAAATTTTTTTTTTTTTTTTTTTTTGGTTTCCTGAGCAAGAGATCAAATCACTAAAAACTGAACTCAACAAAAACCTCCAGACTGCTTGGAGAAAAGAAGAAAAACATGTTCCGGCACATAATCCCAGAGAGAATTTAATTCAGTTGGAGTTAATTCAGCTCTTCATGAGCAAATAGCATGGGAAGTTTTGGGATGGATTTGGGATGGGAGAACCACTGGATATCAAATTTAGACAGTAGCATGCAAAAAAGTCAGGCTACACTATCTTCTCCCATAAAATACACCTATAAGCACATGGACAGTGCAACATTTTGATATTTATGTACAAATCAATCTCAAAATAAGTTTCCTTCAAAAAGGGATAAATAAACCTTAGCATGTAGGTGATTAAAGAATTACTTATTGTTTGCACTTCTTAATTGTTGTCTCTCTGCATCCATTGCCTTCAATGCTTCATTTGCTTGTTGTCTTGTGCGCTCCAGCTCTTGCTTTAGAGATGACTGTTCTGATGATGCTTGCTTAGCAGCTTCATTTGCATCACGAAACCGGGCTTCAAGGTCATCTTTTTCCTGAAAATGACAATCTCCAAACAGCATCTGAACTCAGTTTCTGCAGGTGCTCATTCATTCATTCTTTCTCTCTCTTTTTGTCTTTTTCTTTCTTTTTTCTTTTAGAACATAAAAATCCAACTATATGCATATGTGCTTTCATGTGTTAAGTTAGTATAAATTGCGCTTCTAAATGTTACCTATTAGCACGCATGCACACAAGAAAAGTAGACTATAAATGACATAGGAAAATATGCAATTCTCATTGATGGGCATCTTAACATCTAAATTTGGAAAGATAACATTGCAAATAGTATCTGTCTATCTCTACCTCTCTCCCCTTCTCCTTTCAAGATAAATGATCACATTATCTTTAAGAACAGTATAACAGCATCATAAACAAGTAAACCACAACAAACAATCCAAAGAAAGAATTTACCTTTTGAACCTCTTGAATACGTTGTTTTGCTCTTTTATGAAGCCTTTGAAACTTTGAATCAAGTTCAGTATATTTCTCCTCGCGTTCTTTGATTTCTTGATCCAATTTCTGTTTAGCTATGCAAAGAAACCATAAAATGCATTTAGATGAGGGCAGGTAAAGATATAATGATATCATTACACAAACTACAGAAATGTGATCATGAAATTATAATAACCTTCCATTCCCTTTTTAAGATTTCTACGAGGCAAACCAGATCTCAAGTCTCTAGCACCTGGCTATTATGTTCATTTCTCTATCATAGAATTGGTTCTCTAAAGATATTAACACAATTACAAATGTGTTAAGAATATAAACGGTGGAGGAAGTTTTCACTATGAAACAACATTATTTAAGCTGGCAAGTTCTTCACTAATTGAGCAGACAATCTAAGTAAAAAAGACTCCATTGGATAGATTTTTAAAATCTCCAAATAAACAAGGGGGGGAAATCTGACCTTCAGCAAGCTTCAAGGAAAGCTCTTGGGCTTTCGCATCTGCCTCAGAGTACTCCTCACGGAGATGCTCCAAAGCAATCTCTGCTGCTCCCCGTGTCTGTTTTTCCTCATTAAGTTCTCTATTCAAAGACTGGATCTTTTCACGTAATTCTTTCACATCAGCGGACTCCCCACTTTCCTGACTACTTTCTTCTGCTTCCTGCTGGGACTTCAATCCCTCAAAGTGAGACTTGAAGAACTCGTTCTGAAATTTCAGCTCAATAACCATCTGCAAAAGCTGCTCATTCGTGCTCTCTTCCAGCACATTGCCATCATCACACAGCCCATTTTCCTTCAATACATTCCCATTAATATGCACATCACCAGCCATCTGTTTCTCCAACTTTGAGGGAGAATCTTCAGTTTTACTCTCCAGCATTTCACCGACACTGCTATTTTCCTCCGTCGACATTATCCTACTCTATATAAATTATCACCAAGCAACAACTCCAAACCCTCAAATCTTCAAAAACACTCAAAAAAGCCTAAGCAAAATAGAAGCAGAAAAATACTAATGAGAACGACATGAACGAACGGAAGAAAAAAATAATCAATAATAAGTTAGGGTCTCTTGAACTAAATAACAGAAAAAATAACAATAGTAGAAAAAGTAAAGGAGAAATATGAACAGGCGTGGCATTAATAGAGATCCAATGCTTACAGAAACAAAAGTGGTAAATTATTATTATTATTATTATGATTATTATGAATCTAAATCTAAATCCCTCAATATTACAATTTCACTCCATAAAATGGAAGCCATCACTCTCTGTTTCATTATGTACAGTACAGTTGTTTGATAAAAATTATGCAAACAAATGAGAGAACCTAAACCCTAAACAAAAAAGAAGAAGAAAATTGTACCAGTGAAGGAGGAGGAGGAGGAGGAGGCTTGCTTGATTTGGTTCGCTGGAGAAGAGATCTGGAGAGAATTATGAATAAAAATCACTACTAATTTGCGATTTGAAGAGCACTGTGAAGAAAACTGACATCACAGAGGAGATGTTGTCGGTGATGATGATGATGATCACACGCAAGAGTCCAGGCCGGATTATTACCCAACGTTACCGTTTTATCCCAAGCTCTCTGCCATTTTTTCGTTTTCAAGGTTCTCTCTTAGGAAATATTGATGCTGTGTTTCTTCTGGTTAAAACTCTTTTCTGACTGAGTGACGTAACTTTTAGTTTTTGTTTAAAATTGTTTTTTTTTTCAAATGCATTAAAATAAGTTGTTTATATTATTTTTATATTAATATATTAAAATAATAAAAAAAACATTATTTTAATTTCAAATACTCTTAAAAAACACTCAGAGTAATTTTAAATGTCAATATATAGATGTAATCTCAAACACCCCTTGAATTTACCATAAATTCATTATTGAATTTGAAGTAAAATACTTCTTAAAAAAATTATTTTTTAAACCAATAAATGAAATTAACAAAATTTTAAACAATGGGGACCAAAGTGTAATATTGTAGAATTTCAAAGCAAAAATAAATTTATTACCAATGAATCGAAGCGTAATTGTATAATAAATTTCAATAAAAAAAAGGATAAAATTTCAAGACCTAAACAGTAATTTAACTTGTATAAATAAATTTTAGTCTTCCAATATTTATTGATGGAACGTTTGTTCGAAGCCATCCTTCTCTTCCCTTTTTTATTTTTTTCTTTCGACCACCAAACCTTTCAATGGGCATATGGCCGTAGAATTATTTTAAAAATATTTTTATAAAATTTTAAATTTTTTATATATTAATATTAAAAATAAATTTAAAACATAAATAATTTAAATTCATTTCAAGCAAACTTTTTTTAAAATAAATACCTTCCATCTTAATACTAAATAAGCTTTCAATAAATATTAAAGACTAACACAGAAATAAACTCTTCGATATTGGTTGAAATTACGATGATAGATATTTTTTAAAATATTTTTTATTTATTAAAATATTAAAAAAATATTTTTTAAAAAAATATTTTTAATATAAATAATTAAAATCATCCAAAAATAAAATAAAAATTAATTTGAATTGAAAATTTTCAAAAGATTTTCCTTATTGCAAAAACATACTCTTAAAAGTATTTGTTTTTATAATTCAAAAGTGTTTTTAAAAAAATTTAAAATTTTTATTTTTTTCTTTGTTTCAAATAAAAAAAATTTATATTTTCATAACATTTTCATATAATGATATCATAAATAATTTTTTAAAATAAAAAATATCAATTTAGTACATTTTTTAAAATAAAAAAACATTTTTAAAAACAATTCCTTCGATTTTTGGAATGTCAGTCATCTGAGCCATTGAGAAATACTTCTTCCATTTGGAATCCATTGCTGGACCGTCATCTCTTAAGTCCAGCCACGCAGGTTGGCAGCCACCTAGCATCTGGGAAGCACAGCCCAAAAGTGTCGTCCTCCAGTCCACATAATAGCCATACATTCAATTTGTTGCCTGATTCTTCTCCGCCGAAAGAACCTCCTTCAGCCAGTATAACCATTATTCACTGGGGGGGGGTGGTTCAAATTTGGAAGACAAAGTTCTTCCACGAAAAATTTGAACTACAAAGAACTGTAAGAGAACCTATATTATAAAGGTATATCAATGATTGCCTATTACAAATGATTGCCTATTACAACTATTATAAACTTGTCCTTCGATTATTCTGCAAGTAAATTGCTGTCCCTAGACTATAGTGCGTTTTCTCCAACTGAGACAACGGCATACATTGGCAGAGGAGACCTAAGCTAAGCCTGTGCGAATCTTCAAGTGCCCTTGCCATTTTTCCCCTCATCCCGAGCTTCTGAAAACAAAGTAATTTAATTCAGTGATATAATCTGGAAAAGGAAAATCTTTATTGCTGCTTGAAATAAAGACCTTGAGAAGTAGATACTAAAAGACTACAACAGCACGGAAATACCAAATACCCAATGGTTTTATGTTGATAATTACCGGGATGACCATTAGATCAATCATACAGATTAGTTGCTCGTAATTGAAGTAAAACGATATGAAAAACAACAGAAAGGTGGTGCTCACCAGTTATGACTGGATCTTCCATCTCTAAAAGTGACGGCCACGTGTTCAAAGAATTCTTTGCTAGCATCTGTAATTCAACATAAGCATAAGAATAAAAGATATAAACGTGTGGTAAAAAGCAGATTGTCCCAACATTGACCACAACATGTACTTCCAATTTTCAGTCCTATTTAAAAGGTCAGCATAACTGTACATTCAAAAACATTAGATGCATACTTCTTTGCCAACAGGTGCTTCTGTCCAAACATCAAATTTCTACATATTCTAAACTGAATTTGCAATATTGGGTTATGGATGAAATGGGACTACTTAATATGTTCCATAGCTTTGGCCCTGCAAATGTATGGGTTCAGACCATTCTAATCTTTTGTTATACACTCCTACATGATTTGCTAATTAGAAAAGCAAACAGGTTCATACACACTCGCTCATACACAAGACTTACCATGATTCATTGTTAGAGATGGATCTTTCTCATCCATGTATCCAATCACCTTTGCTGGCGTTCCTGCCACCATACTTGAAGATACCGAAACAAAAGGAAAATAAGCATGTCAGGCAGGCAGATACAATAATGAGAAAACTAATTCCATAAACTAGTAATATCTGATACAAATATAATAGAAATTCCCCATCCTACCTGTGTGGGGGGACATCTTTTAATACAAGAGAACCAGCAGCTATCATAGCGCCTTCACCTATTTTTATATTCCCAAGTATTATCACACATGCTCCAATTAGTGCACCATCACCTACTTTTGGATGGCGATCACCAATTTCTTTCCCTGTCCCTCCTAAAGTAACACCCTGCCAAACATCTTTGCTATTATGATTACGCAAATATGCAATCGCAAATAAACAAGGCGTCCCATGCACATTGTCCTTTACAGAATCCATTCCTCCATCTATTGAAACATTAAATCATCTTTATTAGTCAGACAAAATTTTCAATAAACGGTTTTATTATTCAGTGCAAGGCAACTAAAGCTTTTGAAACTTGGCAATGCTCGGAAAAAATTGTCCTCTAAAAAAGTGGTAACATAACCAAATCAAATTTACAAGTAAACCATATAAAATATCTTGACATTTCCCAAAAAATTTTACAGCAACTTATCAAGTAAGAAATCAAACAACATAAAAATAAGAGAAAAACTGTAAACAATAATCATGAAAATAAAATAGAAAGCTCTCAGGAGAGTGGGAAAATTGGGGCTGTGTCTAGTAGCACAACTTAACAACACAATGCACCCAATTAAGCCAGGTACCAACATAATAGTACCCAGATTAATTCTTACATTAAATAACAGTAGAAGGGAAGGATCAGGGTGGCTTACATGCATCAATGAGACTCTGTTCCCAATGACAGCAGTTTCACCAACAACCACACCCGTCCCATGATCCAATAATATGCCCTCTCCAATTCTAGAAGCTGCCCAGTGAATGAAAAAGGTCAAATATTGGGCTTACAAGCAGTCAGAAACAATATCTTCATTATTTGATATGAATAAAAGGCACAAAACATCTTCCAAGAATAAATTCCTCTAGTAGTATGATTTATCAACAATTGCTTTTGCAGCAATGGAACATTAATATGCTGCTGAATATGCTAACATGCTTTCTATATAATTTCAAACAAAAGCATATCTCTCTCTTTAAGTAAAATTTCCCACCCTGATTTTTCCAGAATTAAGTAACAGGGTATTATAGAATACAATGACATGGAACATGCAATAAATAAATATATAAACATACCTGGATGTATGTCAATGCCAAAAACCTGGACAGATTAATTGTGAAATTATGAGAAGAAAAAAAGAAAAACACCACCCCATAAGAAAAATGGAAAGAAAAGAATAGTACAGGTTATCTTCCAACTACCTCACTGATTCGGCTTTGCAATGCCAAGGCCAGTACTTTCCGTCCTTGGTTCCACAAAACATGTGCTACTCTATAGGATTGCAGGGAATGGTATCCCTGTAAAAGAAACATAACATGCCACATGATGCTTGTATTGCCTATTTCAATTCAAGCACTTTACTTTCGCATCAGTGCATAAGCTAGGACTTTGACAGATTAAGGGTGAACGCATGCTACCCTTGTTTCCCAACTCCCAAAAAAGAAATATGATCAGTGGAAAAGCTTTAGCACAACAGTACCACTTGCAGCATCAAAACATGGAAAAAGTAATTACCTTGAGATGCAATAGAGCAGAACAATATGACAAACAGGCAGGATCTCGGTCTTTAAATGCCTACAGGAAGATTTTCATCGTGAAGATAAGATTCTTTATTCTTGTCAATCGAACACTGTGAGCACAGGCATGTATTCAGAGAATTTGATAAGTTACCTGCATATCTAGGCGAATAGAATGCTGAATACCTCTATCCTTCATTATTACATCAGAAATTGTATCCAATAATTGGGTTGCCAATAGAGTAGGATTTTGCAGCCGATTTGCGAGAACAAATGCCAGTGCTTGCTCTAGGCAATCATGCGACAAAATACTAGCATACAAAAAGCTACTCAAAATCGGTTCTTTTTCCGCCTGCAGTGTTTTATTGCATTTATATAAGTACAAAGTAGGAGCTTTTACTTTCGGGAAGAAAATGCTACTGCTGGACCTCAAAATAAAACATATTACATATTCATCCAACAAAATATTCTTGAGTACAGCACGAACAGCAGCGGACAGGAATTCCTTGTCTCCATGAATAATCACAAAAATAAAATCTTTACTGGCCATATTCTCCAAGGCTCCATTGAATTCTAAAATAACGCAAAGATAAACTGAAACAAACACAATTTCCCAAAATTGATTAAAATTGTTTCAATCCTTAATCTTTAAGGCAATCTCTCGTGTTCTCTCAATTTCTTCCACCGATCTTGTGAAGCAACTAAATCATCATTGCACTTAACAATAATTTAGACAGCTTAGAAACCAAA